TATAATATGTGTGTGTGTAGAAGTGAATCATTTACTGCTTGCAAACCAAGGATGGTAAGATGATGTCATGGGGTAGGACTGGATAAGTCTGACTTCTTCCTACTCCATTCAAGCATGTACTAGGTATAAGCAAATTGATATTGGATTAGCATTTGTTGGATATGTGTAAAATTATTATGTGCGTTGACATATCAACTGTCTTTACATGCTTGAAAGAATAAATCAAATCAAATCAAATCAATGTTTGGGCTGACCCAGTGTTCAGACATGATGCTGAGGCCTAATCAAATCAAATCACATTTTATTTGTAGAGCGCCAAATCACAACAAAAGTCCTCTCAGAACACTTTACCAAGTAAGGTCTAGAAACGAATTACCTTTATATCAATCATGTGTAATTTTTTTAAAAAACGGGCTCGTCCGGGATTTGAACCCGGGACCTCTCGCACCCTAAGCGAGAATCATGCCCCTAGACCAACGAGCCGACATATGTAGTTTTTCGAAGATGCTTCTTAACATTGTAGTATTTCTTGAGTAATGCTTTTCTTGACAGTTTTTGTGTTTATATGAGAAAAATTACCTAGCTTTTCGTCACGAAATGCAACTAAGATTTAATTGTATTTCCTTTTGAAACATAAATACCCAGGGGTTCTTCTCACTTACATCTCCGTTTAAAACCTGTTGAACTTTTTATTTCACTACATTTATGACATATCAAATGGGCTAACTGAAATACTTCTTGTGACGCTTTTCTCCTAATTGTGAAAACCGCACAATAACAACCGTTTAAATTAGGTGCTTCCTGGCTAGTAGCAGGTTTTGTGGTATTTTCGGGCAGCAGTTTGTTCATGAGACAGGGAGTCATCTTGCCTGTTATTACTCTTTATAACTCTTGGGTCAGCTCGCCCCCCGGCTGCCGCCGTGGCGGGGCGGAAGAGGAGCCGCTGGCTGGCACCAAACGGGTGAGTTGCATTGTCACTTTCATAAAAACAACACTGTCTTTGAGCTTTATTGGTGTCCTTTGACTGCAACAACTGACAGATATAAATGAACGACTAATCAGCAGATAGGATTTACATTATTATGCAGCAGCGGTGTTGAAAATGTGTTTGTGTTCGTGAAGAAAATAACTCCTGTGAATAACAACCTATCTACTGACATTTCAGAAAGAACAGTGGTCGTCGTTAGGTGTGTGCTTGACATTCTGTAGGCTACATTGTCATGCTGCAATAATGAGTTCAAATGGTTTTAAAAAAGCAGAAGGGACCTTGGGCATCATATTATGATTGTTTTGGTTCAACAAGTGGGATTAGCCTAATTAGTTATAGGGTACAATTTTATCTGAACACTTTTTATGTTTTATTTACATAACTTACATATAAATTCTTATGAAGCCTAATAGCCTAATAGCCTAGTTATCCCAGTTGTCTGGACAAATGCACATTGGTATTGTCAACCGATGTGTTTACTGTCCTGTTTGTGCTAAATGACATTTTGCTGTCAGGCAACAGTTTTTGAAGTGACTGAAAACAAGGGGGTAGATCATGTGGCCTACAACAACTGACCGCTAGATGGGGATGTTAAATCATGATGTGACAAATTCTTGCTCTATTTTCACAATAGTGTTTCAGTGCCTTTCTTTCAAAGCTTTTTTTTTTTTTACATAAACGGCAGTGCCCCTAATTATGTCATTATAATTCCTCACAATTTACAAAAAAATGTTTTTAAATTGCATCTAATTAGATCATTTGCATGTTTTAAGTTTAACTGGGAATATCAATGTTCGGTCCATCATTACATTGTTATAATTTTTGCAGTTTAGTTTGTGTATTGAGTATGTGAGGATATGAGATGCCTGCAGTCTAAAGACTGTGCACGGACAAATTTGTGATCTTTGCATCAGGAGTTTTGCACATTAAATTTAGAGCTAATGATCACTTAGTTGATAGACAAAAATATAAATATCAAACTATTGTGATAACCAATTAATCATTTGAATTAATCATCAAGAAAAAAAAATCTAATATTGGTTTCAGCTTCTGTTGTGAAAATATAGCCAAAGCAATTGTATGATAACATTAGGTGTTTGGTGATCATCATGGATCAAACCACAGCTAGTACACAGAGATTAGTTCCATTTCCACAATTAAAACATCTATCTGTATATTGTATGTTTATGTGGGCAGTGTTTCATCTGCGAAATGCACAGATCAGCACTTTCTTAACAAAATCACTAAAATTAAAGATCTGCCCCCTTCCAGGTTACCATGTCACAGGCTGCTTCGACTGATGCTGTATCGTCTGTAGACACCACCTCTCCACCTGCCCACACTGACCCCAGCTCCTGTCAGGACGTCCCAACAGCCCTCACGCCGCCCTCCACCCCTCTACAACCTCCTTCGATCTCTGAGAGTTTCAGCCTCCCACAGTCCACCGAGGAGACGACCACAGAGGACACCCCCACCGAGACTACAGAGAGTCCAACTAACCAACTAGAGTCTGCCACCGAGGGTCAGGTGATCGAATGTGACCAACCAGTGAGTCTGGAGCCAGACCCACAGGGTGCAGAGGAGGATGTGGAGGTTTGTAGCTCTCGTTTCTCTATGTGTTTTGTTAAGTTTTGATTATATTTTCCTGTCATAGGGTGCATACGGTACAATAATCTTCAGTTCTATCAATACTTTTATTGATATTTAATAATCATACACCATGCAATATCATTTTTACATAAACACATAACAAACACAAACATTTTTGATAAGGATCCCCTAAACTAGCTTTTTTAAAGACTGTGATTGTTAATATCATTAATCAAGAAAATATTCTGAAATGAAATCAATCATTAGTTGCAGTTATACTTGACTTTGCTTTTATGAATCATATGTACAAAAGTAATGTTTTCTAACTAATAATGTAATGCTTTTGTGTGCAGAGCTCACACCAGGAGAAAGAAAAAGGTTGGGGGGGTTGGAGTTCATGGGGAAAATCTCTTCTAAACAGCGCCACCTCCACAGTGGGTACGTCTCCTGCTATTATTTCCTTCCCCTGTCTCTTATTTCCTCACCCATTCATGTTTTACTTATGTTTTCTTGACCTTACTGTGTGCACAGGTCAGAGCCTGACCTCAGTTAAGGTGAAGGCAGGAGAGGCTCTGCGTCTTCACAAGACCTCGGTAGGAGAGGAGGCCCAAGAAGAAGAGGATGGAGCGAAGGAGAAGAGAGAGGGAGAACGGGGAGAGGCTGACCTGTGCAGCTCCGGGGATTGTTCTTCCGCGAGTGCTGCAGCTTCAAGCAGGGGTGTCTTTTCTTCAATCACACATGCTATGCAGAACACTGTGAGTGAACCATATACACTTTCAAAATCATGTGACGAAAACCTGCTAGTGGAGATATGTTCACTGGTTTCCAGTACAAGAACAAGAACTTCTTGCCACATGGGACAGATTTGCTGCCTTGTTTCAAGATATTGACATTAGTATCATTTCATGACATAATTGTGCCTCAGAACATAATAACTGAACTTAGTAAGTGAAATTTAATTTAACTTGTCATTTTTATTTATTCGGAGTATTTTTATATTTTATTATCATTCCTAATGTTTTTAAAATCATTATCTTCAACTATCCCTGGTGGGACTGGGCTTTTTATAGTTTGCTTGATCGTTCTTGTAGTTTGCCTTTTTCTGTCTTACCCTCTATGTCTGTCTCTCCCAGGGTAAGTCGGTGATCAGTGGTGGTCTGGATGCCTTGGAGTTCATTGGAAAGAAGACCATGACTGTTCTTGCTGAGAGTGACCCAGGTTTCAAAAAGACCAAGACCCTGATGCAGAAGACTGCATCACTCAGTCAGGCATGCAGACAGACACACACACACACACACACACACAGACAGGACTCGCATACGCTCACAACAAACCAGTATGACTGACTCATCCTGTCAGATAAATAATGTAAAACTGTGTGTGTGTGCGTGGACAGAATAACGTGGTGCTTTTCACTGGAATTCCACATTCTGAAACGACAGATGTGCCCGGGTGCTATCTTGAGGTTTTGCTGTGATTTTTCAGATGTTGAAGGAAGCCAAGGAGAAGGAGCAGGCACGTCTGAGCAACCAGCCAATCAGTACACCCACAGCTCACTACAGCATTCTGTTTGACGACTACCAGGGCTTGTCTCACCTCGAGGCCCTGGAGATCTTGTCCAATGAGAGTGAGGCCAAGGTAGTGTATAGAAAATTTGGTACTCCGTGGAAACGCATTCTGTTTGAAATAATGTAGATGAAGTCATCTACCTGCTTTTAGGTCCAAGCATTCCTGACTTCGCTGGAGGTGGAGGAGCAGGAGGAGGTGAAGAAGGAGTTGATCTTTATTAAAGATATCTTCATCAATCGGGAAGAAGAGCAGGAAGGAGAGAAAGAGGAAAAGGAAGAAGGAGGACAGATGAAGAATAATGGTGATCTTAGTTCCCATTTACACTGTTCTACTCCCCTATGTGAGTGACCCAAACCAACCACACTGCCTGATGGTGTAGAGGCAGTCCCTGAGCACTGACTCAGGATCAGTTGACCTGTACTAGACTGACATAGGGACATACTGTAGGTACCGATGTAGGATCAGAGGTCCTAGCTGATGAGAGGTAAATGGTTATTAATGCAACTAAATGAGTGAGCCAGCAAAAATAAAATATACATTTTGGATGAGGTTAGGACCCCTCTCCACTTAAAAAATGAACACATTATCTGCCCCCTTTTCTCACCCTTTACCCCCACCAATAATATCTGTACAGTCCTTTATCTTAAGTATATAGATGTCATAGGTAAGTAACATCGCTGACAGATTAACAGTATCTTCATCAGCATCATAATCACTGATATCCGGCACTGCAACGTCGTTTGCTCACAGCCGTCTCTATACGAATAACATAACAGTAATTGTGCAGTGATACTTTATATTGATCCTTTATTGTTAGATCCCTTTTTGATTGTCATCTTTCACAGTAATGTCAAACATCAGGGCCAGGAACAGAGCAGCAGTAGGGATTCGGTTTCTGAGACACTTCAGCAGCGTGTCATTGTAGAGATTTAAACAGCTCAAAGCACAGTCTCTCTAAACATCGTCCTGTTGGGGGGGAAAAGGTTCTTGAGACTTCACATTTTAAACATTATATGTACTCTGTTACTGTGTGACAGGTGCCCTCAGGTGATGTCACGGCAGTGTAAAGCAGGCAGGCGTTTCTCTGCCCGGAGGGGTTAACATGGTGCCTGATCCAGTGTTGGTGTTCAGGGGCGGCTCACACATTCACATCACAGATTCAAAGCAATCTTTTAAATGATCAAGCCATTAAGTCTGCATGCAGTTCTAACCTAATTTGGAGAAAAATAGTTTGGATTAATTTAAACTGAAGTTCGCCAAATCTCTCACAAGAATATTACTTGTTGATCTCAGCATGGGGGAATTCAAAGCATCACCGGCATGTGGTAGCAATCTGTTCTCATTTTACATTTTGTGCATCTACAGATTTAGCATACAGTGTGTGAACAGCAGTACACTGACATGGGGTGGGTGTGTGTGTGTGTGTGTGTCTGTGTTTCTCTCAGCTGCTGATGGCGAGGAGTTTGTGAGCGTTCTCACTGAGCTGCTGTTTGAGCTCCATGTTGCTGCCACACCAGACAAACTCAACAAGGTGCCACATACACACACATATACTATACCCAGTCGGCCGGAGTAGAGTCGATTGATTTCGAGTATCATGCTATCTTATGTTAAGTACTGTGGCTTTAAGAGAAAAAGGCACCTGCATGTTGAATAGATGCTCTCAGAAAGGCAGTTTATTAAGTACAATTTCAGCATTTCAACACTACATCTTCAACAAAAAATACTCATGTGGACTGATTTAACCCAGGTACCAATCCTGTCAGTACTATATGTACACATCTAATTAGTATTTACTCTATTTACCTGTAACACAAAACTCAGAGATATAAGCTCTGTCAGTCACTGAGGGATGGCCGAATGCTTAACTCCTAAAGAAAGATCATCCGAATGCAGTCATGTTTGTAGTTGGAAAATATAGGCTATTTAAAATTAAAAGCATACTCTATAGGGATATGTGGTACTTGTTTGACATTCAGCATGAGTCCATCAAAATGAAAGACACCGCACAACTCTTCTCCAGTATGCCATTCTGTTTGCTACTTTTCTGTGGGGCTGCTGAAAGGAAATCAGTGATATAAGTCAGCTAAGTCCATGAGTCCACTAAGATAATGTACCAGTACACCACAGTCTTTTGTTCAAGAGTAAGTCCTTGACTACAGTATATTGATCATCAAAGACAGACACTCATTCATCTATAAGAGCAAATAATAGTCATTTATTTCTAGAAACACCTGCAAAATGTCCTCTTTCCTATGAAAATACATACACACCACTTTATCAGCCACTCTTTTGTGTGCAGTCTCAGAAGTACTATACAATTTATGATCTCTGAAGTCCTACTACATAATCAAATTCTTCACACACATTAGCATATAATCGTGCATATGCATATAATTAACATACATCAGGATGGCAGTCTCTCGCCATGCAGAGCTGATGGGTGGTAATTATGCATCCCCAGGCTCGGATGAGGGCCAATGATTGGGTGAGTGAGGTGGAGCGGCCTGTGACTACGAAGACAGTTGGCAGGGAAATGCAGGACCACCTTGGAGGAGAGGCTTCATCTGAAAAGAATGAAAAGGAGGAGGAGAACAAAGATGGTGAGGAGCAAGGGGAGGAGATGAAGGGAGGAGAGGAGGAAAAGAAGGAGAAAGAAGCCTGCCTCAGATCTGTGGAGGTGAGGTCAACTCAACAGTGTTGGGTAACTTTTCACTCAGTAACATTTCTCTTTTTTTTTTTATTTAAACACCCTCTTCTCCTGCTTTGATTGCTCCTCCCTAATTTGATATTGTTTAACTCTTTCTCTTTCTGTCTATCTATCTATGTGTGTGTGTGTTCACCTCCCACTCTCTAGACTGTCTTCCTGTCATCAGTCGACAGTCTGGCAGAAGTGACGGCTCGCAGTATCGAGCAGCTCCACAAGGTGGCAGAGCTCATCCTCCATGGCCAGGAGCTAGAGAAACCCGCCAGAGACCAGGCGCATCTCCTTACCAGGTGTGTGTGTGTGTGTGTTTTTATTACATTATGTGGAACTGCATGTGAGAGGAGCATATTTTGCTGAAATCTACTAATTTTATTTTAGGTTGACGTGCGCTATGTGTCAGGAGGTGAAGTGTTTGGCCAAGAAATTCTCTGATACGCTGCTTCTTGTTGGGGTAGGTGAGAGGGACTCTGTGTGTGTGTTTGTGGTGGCTGGTGTTATTCTACACGTGTTTTACTTGTTGTCAACAAAACCCCGTGAAATCCAAAGCAATTTGTTAGTTTATCTTTCAGTACTGTGGCTCCAAGTCCTAAGACCATTTGTTTGTACTGAAGATATACATTTATTTAAATTAGTTCCCAACATATATACTAATAAGTAAATTACCTTGTAATCTCTGGAACCGAATTGAATTAGTGTATTATGATTTATCTTATGTCTTTGCTCACTGATCCTTCCTGTGTCTCGTTTCTCGCTTAGGGTCAGAGCAAAGCAGAGGAGTTGAATCCGCTGGTAAATAGTGTGCTGCTAGAGGTGAGATAAACTATCCTGACCATCCTCAGCCTGACAGTAACTGCTGGAAATGTTTTAATAATCACTGAGATCGATGTAATGACCGATCTGTTTAGTTTGTTAACGGCAAGCAAAGTGAGCCATGCAAACACTGTTTAAAGACATGTTCAGAAATTCTTATCATAAAGAAAAAATGACATTGAAAATTGTTTTTGAACACTGGGAATAAAGATAAAATACAGTTTTATGCTTTATACTGTATAGACAGGATGCCTTTGTGTTACTTGTTTGTTTTAGCAAGTTAAAGACAATTTTCCACGTTGGTGGTGATGATGATGATGATGATGATGATAATAATGATGATGATAGTGGTGGTCATGAGTCTCCTGTCCACAGGGCTCCAACAGCACCAGCTATATCCAGAATGCATTTCAGCTGCTGCTGCCCATCCTGCAGATCTCCCACATCCAGAGTCCACACTGCCGACCTGTCACAGACCCAGCAACACAGACGCATCACTAACACACACACTCACACAAGTGCTACCTGCTCACCTGCTTGTCTTAATGTATCAGTTGTTGTACAGTAAGGTATAAAGATTATATCATTCCAAGTGCTTATATTTACATTAAGTGCCGCAGAAACAGACAGAGGATGCTGTTAATATCTGCAGAACATAGTTATGAAGAAAAAAAGAATTAACAGATACACGTAGAACTGAACCACATGCAGGTTGCATGTGTGTTTCTCGTACCATATACTGTATCTCAGAATGTTATTGTGCCTCTGTTGTAGAACTGATATTTCGAAGCTCAGCTGAGATTTGCTCTGTCTCTGTTGTCTCCAAAAAGCTGAACCAAAAGCAGTTGTGTCGAAGGGACACCACGTAAATGTATATTAGGCTTTCTTTGCACTTCTTGTGGTCCATTGTTATTTTAACACAAAAGAATTTTGAATAACACTAAATAAATGCCTGTTTTACTGAAATGTTCAAATCTGATGTCAGACAAAATGCCAGTATTAGTGAGACACCACAATTTTCTTCTTAAATGAAGCAACATTACCTTACTTTGTCTGATTTGAAACACTAACCTGGGCTTCGTACCTTATGCATTTAGTGCTACGTCTCCCTTCCTGTGTATTTTCAGTGTAATGTGGATGAATTCATTCCTAATTATGTTTCGTGCTGCTACATTTGAATAATTAGACATTTCTGGGAAAATTGCTCTCTTACCAACTCTGCAAGAAAGCATATTTCTCATCATGAGGAGTGAAATAGCCAAAGCATGGAGGTGACAAATAAAGCCTTTTAATTCTGTTTCACTGGGATCTTTACATTTATATACAGTACATACATCTGGACCACCAGAGGGACCTAACACAAGCATTTCCTTTTTCCTCCTTTTCTCTGACCAGAGTAGAGTCTCATTTGCCATCCCAGGGGGCTCATGGTGTATCTGTTTGTTGCTTTCCAGTAATATACTGATTGATAGTTTCCAGTCCACAAGTCCTCAGACCTCTGATGTTCTCGTTTCCCTTTTTACTTCTCTTTCTTTGTTTTTAGAGATACACTGATGAAAGAATGCTATTAAGTAAGTATTAGTCACTCCTGTCATAATGTTTTGGCTCTTTTCAGCTATTGCCAGATGGGGTAAGACTGTTTATCAGACTTGCTTCTGCTTTAGAATAACAAATGGTTTGTAATGGTGACTGTACAATGTTTGGAAACCAGGTTGTTTTCTATAACCTTAGATAGACTGTTCTAATAAATTGCTCTGTTTGAGGGTGAGAAGCTGAAAATAAACCAGTTTTAACCATCTTCATGTCTCTAAGGTGTTTTTCAGCACAAAGGTCATTTTTATTTCTCTCCAGTGCACTTTCAGTCTGTTTCCATACTCCTCTTTCACCAGGCTTGTTCCTCTGTGAGGGCGGAGATAGATGGATGGCCACGTTGGTGCAGATTTCCTAAAGATAGACAAGATAGCAAGGTAATAAATAAACTGAAGCTACAGCAGATGGCAATGAAGTGTCAGGGTGGGGTTGGTATTCACTCTCAGCTTGCAGTATGTTTACATGCCTGTTACAGTAAATTAATTCTGACTGTAACCCTAATGATTATCATATAAACACTACAGATAAAATACAAGTTACAGTCAAACATGGAACAAATATACTTTTTACTCTACAACATTTATTTAATGATAATCATAATCACTTTATTTGGCCAAGTATGTTATACACACAAGGAATTTGTCTCTGGTACAGAACCGAGGTAGCCATCTGAATGAATAAAACAAAATACACTATAATCAGAAGTATTTATTGATTCTTGGTGTAAAATTCACACGCTACCCAGGAGTATGTAAAATACTTCAAAATATAAGCCTATAAGGCAGTTAAAACTAGCTCCACCTTTACCAACTGCAGTGTTAAATGTGTCATCCAGTAAAAGACTATTCTGCATAATGAGCACTTTTACTTTTGGTACTTTAAGTATATTTTTATGCTAATACCTTTTTAGGTAACATTTTTAATGCAGGATTTTTACTTTAACACTATTTTTACACTGTGCTATTGTTACTTTTACTTAAGTTGGGGATTTTAGTACTTTTTATACCTCTGGTACAGATTAAGCTGCCCAGTAGTACACAAAGTAGTTGTAAGTGACCCCAACTTAACCAGCTATAATATTAAATTAATGGTTAAACACTGATGCATCAATTATTATAATCCAAAAATAGATTATTCAGAAATGGTCCATTCTGCAAAATGAGTGTTTTTAGTTTTGATACTCTATTTTGATGCCAATACCTCTGTGTATTAGCAGGAAGTAGGCGGTCTAGAACTGAGACCTAGGAAAGGGGCGGAGTCTATAAGAAGGCTCTGGGAGGTCACATGGCCCTGTTCCACCTGCACTGAGACACACCTGAGAGGCAGCAGCTGAGGTCAGCCATTGTTTGGAGTTTGATCTGATAGGCTGTGTTTAAATATGTTTAAGAGCATGGCTTTAAGAATTTAACTGTAGAACCATGACATGTTGCACCTGCCTCATGGTGTTACACTAAAATATTTGTATATTCATTTCTTCATGGGCAAGGCAGATTTCAGTCAGTTTTGTATCTGTCACCCAGTAGAACAGTTTTTCAGTTCAATAAGTTTCTTTTGGGGCTTCTGTTTCATTTAGTGTTCAACAAACAGTCAGACTGTTTGAAAAGCCAGTGTTTTCCCCTTTTTTACCACTATGTCAATTGTATGGACCAATTTTGTGTGTATTTTTATGGTGAGGCTTTTTTCATTGTTAAAGTGGGTGCAAGTAGCCATATTGAATGCATCTTTTT